ACAGAACCATCACTATCTGACATGTAACTACCTAGATCAACACAAAACTAGCACTAAAAAGTGTAATCCAACCTGTTGAAAAAACAGCATATGCTGGTTAGGTATGTTTTGAAGCATGGCTGCTGGTTTGAGCTGGTTTAAGATGGTCTTTAGCTGTCATGAGCTGGTCCTTAGCTGGTCATGAGATGGTTTATGCTGGTCATGTGCTGGTTTAAGCTAGTCATGTGCTGGACCTAAGCTGTTCCTAAGCAACTAGCTCCTGCTCAGGACCAGCTAGGACCAGCACATGACCAGCTTAAACCAGCTCAAACCAGCAGCACATACTATATGCTGGTTTTTTCAACAGGGGGATCAACATGAACAGCTAACCTAGTAACAAATGGCATAAACCAACTTGAACCTACATGAATTCTCAGCTAAAATTTTTAAGCAAAAACGTAGACTTAATTAACCAGCACAGAACCATCACGTTCTGACATGTAACTACCTATATCAACACCAAACCAGCACTAACCAGAGTAATCCAACATGAATTGTCAGTTAAAACTGCCAAGAACAACACTGACCAGCATAACCCAACCTATAACAAAATGATTTCACAAGTTAAACCTGCATCAATAAGTCTAGACCCACACTAACCAGAATAATAAAACCTGAACAAACATAAATTCTCAGATAAACCAGCAACAAATCAGCACTAAACCAAATTAGACCAACATAAATCTGGCTGTTTCAGCAGGATATGCAAACTAAACAGTGCACACTCAAATCAAGCCAACAACTTCCAAATCCATATTTCTTGGACATTCACCTAGAGTGAACTCAACCGCTGGAGCTGTCAGCATTAGAAGAGTTGCTCAATTGGAAAGTCAAATTATGACAGTCAACACACACACACACACACACACGTCACGAAAAGCAAACAGCTGTATTTCCTTTAAAAGTCATCAGGTCAGCACATCCATAAAGCCATGACAGTCCATTGACCCTCACATTAATATTTAATGTCTAAGTCTGTATCTTCTGCCTTTACGAGAAGAACTCAGACAAGAGGAAGTCTTTTTATTATTAAAAACAATCCGTCTTATCTGTTTCCATCACCTTTCTGAGCAAGCGTTCATTTAGAGAGAGATGAGAGATCTCATTTGCAGGTGCATTAGTGCTTTTCGCTCACTGCTCTTTGATCAGACAGAGATATGGGAGATGGAGCAAACATGAAAAGTCCTTTAACCCCTCACGAGCAAAGATGACTCAGTCTGTTAATGATGAAGAGGTTTATAATCAACCGTACAAGAACAACAACTCTCCCCCCGAGCGTCTGTGGGCGTATGTGTGCAGTATTGAGGCACAGATATCTGTTGATCAGACAGAGATATGGAAGATAGAGCAAACATGAAAAGTCCTTTAACCCCTCATGAGAAAAAGATGACTCAGTCTGTTAATGATGAAGAGGTTTATAATCAACCGTACAAGAACAACAACTCTCCCCCCGAGCGTCTGTGGGCGTATGTGTGCAGTATTGAGGCACAGATATCTGAAATACTTGATTCTGATTGGACAGTGGCAGCAATCTGAGGTCAAATGTATTCACATACTAAATTAAAATAATTTTAACCCATTTGGCTATTGCTACAAATATACCCCAGCGACTTAAGACTTTCGTGGTCCAGGGTCACATATATATGATTTAGAATTAGTATGCTGTCTTGGGTTGACAGGTTCAACTACATGACAATCATTTAGCAGCTTGGATGAGGCAGGTGATTTGAGGTCAACTCAGTACACTGATGGCAGTGCCATCTCCCTGCAGCGAGTGTGGATAAACTCCACTGGGTTTCTTTGTCTCTAACAGAACAACAGTGTCGGGCGGGACGTTGGCTCGGTCTGCAGTGAAGTCATTTGATAAAACAAACTCCGACCGCGGCAGTAACGGAGGACAGAACGAGTGACTTCAGATAAGGCTTGTTTATTTGGGCCAGCGATGTGGGAACAAGGATGCACTTGCGATGCCCTTAGTGACATTACCACACTCTCAGACCTCTTTAAACGGCGAGGGCTTGACCGAGGGTTTGGATGTCTGAGTATGTGTGTGTTAGGAGTCTAGAGTGCTTTCTATAACCTATTTGATGTTTCCACTGAGAGAAAAATGTCAAAATGACAGGCCAATCAAACCTGCACTTAAAATCCTGACTGAGCACTTAAATCCTTCCAGACACACACGAAAAGCAAAACAGATCTAAGAAAGCTCACCTGAGTGAAGATTATCGTGACAGTCTTCATAATAAAGCTTATTTTTATGACTCGCATCAGTTTCTAATCAGCTCAACCGAAAATTCAAACAAAGTTCATGATCTACACACCATTTTCAAGTCAATATGAAACCAAATTTTCTACCTACCTAATTTTTCGTAATGTGATGCTTTTCAGAGTAAAACATGATGATGTATGAAACTGTTATGAACAATAAAACCTAAAAAAAAATTAAGGAAGCCAAATCCAATGTCCTATTGAATGTAAGCAAAGACGGATAAATTGCATAGGCTGTTTATGTACTTGGTTAACAGGATAATAATAATAATAACACATACATAAATAAATCAAAAATTAATTTTAAAAAATACATAATTATATATAGTAATTAATAATATTACAAATATTAATAATAGTCTTGCTGTGCAAAATAATAAAAAATAAAGATAAAAATACAAATTTAATAAAAGGTCCAAAAACAACATACTGACAATTGTATAATTAACTAACATCACCTCGCCTAGACAGATTTACGCATTAGTGTTTCACGAGTGCATTGACATATGTGTGCATTCATAATTTATCAGATTTATGATTATTAGACACGGCTGATGAACCATGCTCACTGACGCATGGAAACATGTCAAAGCGGAGTCACTCCACTTTCCACTATCCCAGATGGTCCCCCAGACCCTCATCTTCCTCACACTTGCACACACACACACACACACACACACACACACACACACACACACGCACACACACAGTTTAGCTTTTCATCTCCCTCCCCCATCGCTTCCATCCGCTCTCTCTCGCCTTCTCCGAGGCACACATGGCTTTGACACATTGTTTGTGGTCATCGGGCTGGTTTGGCAATTAGTAGCCATAATCTGATCTTGCTGATATAGGCTCAAGGAGAGGCTAATACACACAAATCTACCACATTAAACACACTTTAAACCACAAAGGCCAATTGCCTTTCAATTAGCCACTAAAGAAGGGATCACTAACCCCGTTCCCTCCATCTGCCGCCTTCAGACACACTTCAACTTGAACATGGGGGGGAACTCTCCTAAATGAATTTCTACAATGCTTTTGTCTGTTCTGTATGGCTGGAATCTAAATCAGACACATTAGAGCTTGCGCAGACATCATTTAGTGCTGACTGTCTGAGGTAAATCATAGAGCGTTTTAGCTTTTATGATGCAAAAAAAGCATGCATGCTTAAGCAAAGTGAGTTAGGGAGCAGCAGAGGGTTGCAAATAAAACTGTGTGAACTATACACAGACTTACGCAATACTTGTATGAGTGTTATCAGACAGAAAGACAAGCAAACAGGTTGTGTGATGGATGGAATTGGGCAGGCAGTGGAGATGGAAACAAATAGACAATCCCTTCATGTTGGCTGTGTGTTCATTACTGATCTGGAGACCAATTTCTCCACACACACACACACACACACACACACAGCATGCCGAACTGAACGTCTGATTTCTGGCGCGGCTGCAACAACCAGTCAACCACCATCTGTCAAATGCCAGACAAGGAGGGAGATTTTTTGCCCTCTCTCATTCTCGCTGTGTTTCTGCTTGATTTTTTTGGAATAAATCACGCACTGACGTGACCTGACTACAACATGACACCGGTGGTCTTCATCAGAGGTTGTGTTCACACACAAATGTTCCTGAACAGGACACAGGTATTACTAGTCTAATATAGGTTTGTCAATTAAAGAGATAGTTCACCTAAAATGAAATTCTGTCATTATTTATTCACCCTTGTGTCATTCCAAACCCGTTTGACTTTCTTTCTTCATTGGAACACAAAAGGCTACGTTAGGCAGAATGCCAGTCACCATTCACTTTCATTATATGGAAGACAGATGCAATGAAAGTGAATGGTGACTGAGGTTGTTAGTCTCTAACATTCTTCCTAACATCTCCTTTTGTGCAAGTCATACAGATTTTTGATAACGCAAATAAAAAAAAACATTTTGGGGTCAACCATCCTGAATATGGATAATATTTACCGGTTTCTAGCTTTTTTTTTAAGTATCTAAGAGTAAACTGCGTTATAAAAAGTCAGTGCATAGGTAATTTCCACTGCCCAAAATCACACTAAACCAAAAGATTCAACCAGTGCAGTTTCTATATTGCAAAAAAATATATATAATTTTCTCTAAAAAAAACTGTCAAGAAAAGACAGAAAATTACATTTGCAAGCCTTTCAGATCATTTTGCAAAGAACATATTCGTTTTAAGATTACCAAGTATCCTAAATGTTGTTACTATGTAGACCATTTTGAACCAGCTTAAGGTGGGCACGCTGGTTTCTCTGGTCCTAACTGAAAATTAGCCAGTCCAAGGAAGTCATTAGCTGTTCCAATCTAGAAGACCATCTTGGACCAGCAACATACCAGCTTAAGCTGATCATAAAATGACCCGCTCCTATGTTCTTAACCACAGTTACCACAGTTACCATGTTAAAATCCATTACCATGTAATCCAACCATTCATTCCGCAACATTCAGCACCCCGACCATCCCGCGTCTGTCTAAAAAAAAACACAGAAACTCCTTCCCAACTCCGTTGGATGCCAAAGGGATCTCTGTCTATACTCAATTTAGTCCTCGCGAATAAATCCCAGCGCAATTCTCCGCTACGAGACATGCACCTGTCAACCCTGAAGCGCGCCGCGCGTAACGCACTCCACGGAGCGCTTCACAGAGAGACAAGCATCCACATATTTACCTTCCATCGCGAAAACGGCCGTTACAGCACATAAAACCGTTATTAATCCCACAGTCATGGTAAAAGGCATTAGCCGCTGCCGCGGTGTCCCCTTGAATTTGGAAAACCGGACGGCGTGGAGTGCGCGTAAAATCCGTCACTTGTCACGCAGGGTGATATTCCAGCGAGTGAGCGAGCGGCGTGGAGTCACATCGCAGGCAGTAGTAAAAGAGTGAGTGGATGCTGGCACGGACGCGGAGCGCAGAGATGAGAGCTTAGGAGAGACGGACCCCCCGAAACCCCCTTTAAAAGCTATGGACCAATCAGAGACTGCACACCGAAAACCACCAACCAATAACAGACCTCCTTACAGCATGCATTGTTATTCAAAACAAAAACTTTTCAATGTTTCTCTATGAGGTGAAATACGCGTTCGGTTGGAAGAGAAATAGCGACCTCAGATGGCCATAACTTTTTTTAGCAATCTAAAATGAGGAGGTGACATTAAAAAAACTGAGGAGGTGACATAAAGATAAATCTTTTTTTATATATATATATGTTTATTTGACACAAATGTGGTATATAAAACAATACAATAATAGTTTGTAATAAATAATAGCTTCATATGCATATTTGTTTCATAAAACATTTACATTTATGCATTTAGCAGACGCTTTTATCCAAAGCGACTTAAAAATGAGGCCAACAGAAGCAATCAAAACCAACAAAAAAACAATAATATGTAAGTGCTGTGACAAGTCTTGGTTGCCTAACGCAGTACAAGTTTTTTTTTCTTATAATAAATCAAAAGAAAACAAGTGTTAGAGGGTCTCTTTTTTATTTTATTTTTTTTACAAAGAAAGAAAAGTCGAAAGAATTTAAAAGAATTGAGAACGTTAGTGTTAGATGGTCATTTTTTTTAAATAAAAAGAAAACAAGTACATTGAATAGAAAAAGAATAGAGAGTGCTAGTGTTAGAGGCTCTATTTTTCAATAAAAAGAAAGCAAGTATTGTAAAGAGTGCAAGTGTTAAAGGATCAAGTGTTTTTTTAATAAATAAATAAAAGGAAAATTAGTAGAACAGAAATAGAATAGAGAGTGCTTGTGTTAGAGGGTCAAGTATAGATGGAAGACATGTGTTTTTATAAAAAAAAGAATAATAATAAAATAAAAACATATTTTAGTATGCGTGACAGTGTTATATATTAAAATAATAATTTATAACTTTTTAACTTTTTTTTATTTATCTTGATGTTGTTGCTTTTGTAATGGACCTTAGAAATAACTAAATTAAAAATATCACAATTAATGGCTGGATTTAGAGAATGAATAACGAATGTGTCCCTGGAACATAATTCAGGTCTAAACAGGTAAAAAGCATTTGTCAAAAGATAGATTTGGCGCTGGCTTGTGTCTTTTCTCTTAGGATGACTGATAGTTTTAGAATAACCGTTTGACATGAAACTTAATAAAAATGACATGGTCTGAGTCTCTCTTGCAACAGGTCTGTCAGGAGGGATAAATCAAATAGTTCCTTGTCTCTCTAATTATCTGGGCACGTTGTAGTGGTAAGTGATTTTGAAAGCAACAGGAGAAGTAGACCTGACATAAAACGCAACGTCTTTCATCATCCTGCAAGACTCAAGCCTAAAGGTAAGACAGCAATTACAACTAAAGCAATCTGCAAAGTGAAAGTGGCGTTCAAGAAGCCGAACAATTAGAAGAGAGGCCGAGAGCGAGTCAGAGAGACCATATGGTTGATACACTTAAGCAGAGGTGCTACTGTAGGTGAACATGTAATTTTTGTGTTTTCTTTAAGCCTAAATATGAATAAACGAAAGTTTAAAGCAAAGTTTAAACCTAAAATATATAAATTAAGAACAATGTTGTAAAATAATATACATATTATATTATATTCAAATATCTTTCTGATAATTTAAATAAACGCTTTCTGTCATATTGATATGAGAGAATGGCTAGAAAAATGATAACAGGTGCTCAAACAAACAAACATTTAAATAATTAAACTAGTAAATAAAAAGTACTTTCCCATACCAGCTTACAATGGGGCAATGGTAAAAATGGCAATAATCAAATAAGAAAAATCTTATATTATTATTATTAAAATTATAAATCAAATCTTAATTCGTTTTTACTTTGGTTTGGTTTCTTCTCCTTTCGATCTAGACTTAAAAGCAAAAATCAAAGCAAAAACAAAAATTCAACCCAAGCTAACACACTCGTCTAACCAGTTACCAACTACCCTTTTCCTTGGTTTCCTTCTGAGAGCAAATGCATGGTTTCTATATGAACCATGTCCGCTTAATTAACATTGTGAAATATATCGTCGTTAATTGGAGCTCTCTTCATTAGCACACAGAGTTTAGTAAGCAGAGGATGCAAATGAGTTTGAGCTGGCTGTGCGCAGTGGGCCACTGCTGGGGAACCGCTGTTCTCAAGCACTGACTTTACAAGACTATTAGAGAGACAAGAACAAAACCGACCTGTCAGGTGCGCACAGCACACACACGCATGCATGCACCTTGAGGTTTGTGTGATGCACGCAGCCAAATGGGTGTTCATGTGCCCTTCCCAGTGCCAGCACAGTTGTTTAGAGAATTGCGTGTGCATGCTGAAGCCGTCATTATCTTCATAAGGGCAGGAGGAAGACATTTGCATTCAAATTGGACTCTAATTGCCCTGCAAAGTCAGGGACATTTTATAATCATATTTTTGCAAACAGTGCACGTCACAGTGTCTACTCTCCCTCGCTCTGTTCCCTCGGATTTAGACATTTTTAATTGTTAACAGTATGCATTGTGGCATACTGCTCATACTATTTTAAAAGTGCACAGGTGTATAGTATGCACAGTATGCAAATGTTTACACGCATATGCATGAAACGCCCTGATGACTGGCTACATTTGTCAAAGTATGCAGTTTGGAGCAAACGCTTCCAGAGCGAACGTTATGGAATATCTCGCAATCCATTGTGTTCGACTTGACCTACCTTTAACAGTGTGACAATTGAACCAGATGATTTTAACATGCATTCTGACCTACTTGATGGGACTGACTGTTAAAAGTTCAGACACTTAAAAGGAATGGGATAACATGCAAACTGGCTGCATATACGGAGGTCATATAACAACAGGATACTAGTGTTTGAGACATTTATCATTACATATTGCATACGAAGGTAGAAAAATTGAATGAGATGAAAATAATTGACAGTACAGAAATTAGCTCAGCTCGGGGCAGATATATGATGTTGTTATTGTATAAATATTCATGAATAAATGCACATAAATTCACAAATGCAAAACTGATACATAAATAAAATCAGATCCACAAATAAACATAATAAAATCTCTGAAAAATGTTTGTTTGTCTCTTTGAGATATGATTCCACATGAGAATCTACAGCTATTCACTTGAGGAAAACCAGTTTAAAATGTAATAAATTATATAGGGAAATAAATCAATAAAATATGTACTACCGTTTTAAGAAATTACTACTTTTATTTAGCAAAGACACATTAAAATGATTAAAAGTGACATTTTGTATTTTAAATAAATGCCGCTCTTATGAACTTTTTATTAATAATAAAAAAAAAGTCTATCACAGCTTCCACAAAAATATTACGCAGCACAACTGTTTTCAAAATAATAAATGTTATCTGGGCAGCGAATCAGCATATTACAATAAATTCTGATGGACCGATGACACTGAAGACTGAAGTAATGAATATAAAATACAAAACAGTCATTTCATATTTCATAATATTGCTGTTTTTACTGTACTCGAATTTACTCATATTTCAAATACTGACCAAGAACTTGAAAGGTAGTGTAGGTGGACTCCACCCACTGTCGACCTGAGCCAATCAGATTTTAGAACAACATTTTGCTTCTTAAATAAATAGTTAGATAATATTCTGATGATATCACATCACACGGTGTTGAACACCATTTAAACAGTATTTCAATATAAATTATAATATATTATTATTGGTTGCGTGTTCTTTCTGCTTTTAACCCAGAAACTGTAAGAAGAAATAAAAACCCATACTTTTTTCCCCTCATACACTCTTAAAAATAAAGGTTCTTTATTGGCATCAGTGGTTCGATGAAGAACCTTGAACATCCATGGAACCTTTCAAATGCAGAAAAGGCTCTTTACAGTCAAAAAAAGTTCTTTCGATTTTTTAAATGTTCTTCAAAATGGTTATTTTAGGAACTGTTCACTGAAAGGTTCTCTGGGGAACCAAAAATGGTTCTTCTATGGCACCACTGCAAAAACACCCTTTTGAAACCTTTATTTTTAAGAGTCTACTTGTATATAATAGCAGTCAGTATATAGAATACAGACTGTGTTTGATAGACTGAAATATAGCAGAACACAGCATATCTAATCTACCATTGGTGTGTTTCCTTTCTTCTGTGTTCAATGTTCCTTCTCTCAAAGGTGTGCTGAAACAGATGGTACAGACAAAGAGATGTCCCTAAGGGACAGACATCAGACTGGGGCTTTACAGACCGGTCCTACAGTTATCAATAAAGAGGCCGTCCCACCTGCCTCGCTCTTTTCCAGTTCATCTCTTCATCTGCATCCTATCAGCCTGATTTGGCATTGGCCGTCCTGCACCTGATAACACTCAAAGAGCGTCCACTCTCTCTCTCCTCCACACACTGGCTCGTATCTCTCTGTGGCTCCTTCTCCAATCCTGGAGAGGAAATTCAATCGTGCTTCAATAATCTCGTCAAGGCCCACAGCCAGACCGGTCTCTGCCGACATGACGGTCACACAACAGTATTGCATTAGAAACATGCAGCATGTCGTTTCCTCCACTACAATAACAGCAGTACATGACGAGAGGCTGCTGTATACTGATAGACTATTGATTACGCCTGGCAAATTATAGCTACAGCCTGGACGAGCTGAAACACCAGCACTGGCCCAGAAACACACTTCAAGACTGAAAACACAGCTGTGTGTTTCAAATATACACAAGAGGGATCAACACGGGTATGTGTTGGGAACATACAGTCTGCTGAAAGCATTTACACTAGGACTAGGATAGGATAGAAATACCTAAAATACAACTAACGCATTAAGATAAGGATCATATAAATGCACTATGTGATATTGGCAGTAAAGACATTTCAGTAACTTATTAGATAGTTCACCCAAAAAATATCATTTACTCACCTTGAAGTTGTTCCAAACCTCT